ATATGATCCTTATTGTACAGTTGAAAAAAATTAAGTCAAGAATTAAAAACCTAGTGCAGGGTTACAATTTTTAAAGAGGAAGAGTCAAGATTCAAATCCAGGTCTTTGTGAATCCAAGGTTTAGGTGGAAATATCACTAGCTCTCAAGTTTTCTGTTGCTTTCAGAGAAGGAAAAAGTTGTTTGAATGCCAGGTAATTACCACCAGTGATTATGGCAGCCTATGCACCACAACAGATTACCCCCAGGGTATTACCTGGAGGTTGCTGCAAAGTCTTACATCCAGTAAAGCCTTTTACACCTATCATCACCCACCCCCCCACCCACCCTCCCCAACTGCTGGAGGAACAATATGCATGAATCCTGCCTCCATATCTCTCACAAGTGCCTCCCATTGACAGAATAGAACCAGTGGCAAGGGATTCTGGAAATGTAGTTCTTAGGCTTCTAGCCTTTGATAGGAAGAGGTCATAGAATGGAACAAGAATGATTCTGCATTGCCTAATAAATGCTCTGGCATAGTTAGACCTGGTCCCTGAGAAAACCTGGAATTCAGGAGATCATGTGAGCGTAGCTATAATCCTTTACAGATAACTCTGCAACAGGGGTTCCCATCCCTGGGTGGGAGTGGCTACAGTTCAGTGGAAGCAGCTGGTGAGAGCAACACCACAGAGTAAATCTTTTGGCCATTATTTTTCACTCTGATCATATTCTCAAACTCTCAGGATCTAGGGAGGTACTTTTCTGCAAATTCAAATCCTGAACAGCCTTCAGAAGAGAAGTAACATGTTGTAAAAGGCACTTTCCAGCCCTTCCTATTCTTACCAGAGCCCATTTTAAGATGCCCCTGCACCAACAGCTTTGATTAATGGTGTAAGAACTCTGGGCTCTTGTTTACACTCTCAGTGAAAATTCCTACCTGTTGGCTGCCCTACTTCTCTGGTTGCTTTAATATCTTCAAGAAGGGCTTTAATTTTAATGACTGAATTAGCAGAAATAACTCAAGAGAAATTTTGGTTAATGTTTAACTTAATTTCAATGATCAAAGTTACATTCTTATTTTCTATTTCCTGAGGGCAATTAATTTTAATTCTTATTGCTCTTTCTTACTTCTATATTTCTTAACAGTATGCTTATACTGCTAGTTCTTGATTTTTCAATTTAGATGTTATCTGTTGACTCCATATGATTGAAAATGACAAATCAGCTTTCATATAGTTCAACACACACACACACACACAACACACACACACACAGAGCACACAACTCATCTATTCCACTCATCTTCCCAAATATAACTTTTTGAATCAAGTCACTATTCAGGATTACATTATTATGACTGTATAATATTTATCTACCACTGCATCATATAATTTTCTATATGTTCTATCGTAAATTTTTTAGTTTTCTTAGAATTAGTGATCTTTTCTCTCCCCCTTGCTTAGTTTTTCAGTAATCACTAACTCATCTGCAAACTTCATACCAAAGGGAAACTCTCTTTTTAATAGGCTGAAACACATCTTGCAGTTTCATATTTTTTTTTAGAGACATCACAGTCTCCCCAGAGCTTCCACTCTTCTGGTCCAATATAGAATGGCTGCTCTCTGGGCTGGCTGCCCAGCTACCACTCTGAGACCACCTGTCACCATCAGCCAGAGAACTGGACGCTGTATATCATGAGATGATCCCTTGAATCCTGTTTCTCCCCCTGATACAACGTAGTGGTGGTGGTGGTGGTGGTGGTGGTGGTGATGGTGGTGGTGGTGGTTATATTTTCTTTCAGTTGAGCCAAATCCTATATTTAGCTTCTTCTCCCTATCATGACTCCCCCCTTTCCTCTCTAGAGGATCCCACATGTGCCCCCGGCATGTGAAAGTAGGAGGCTGTGCATTCCAGAGACTGAGAGTCTCCCAGTGTCCCTGCGGTCAGTCTGCCTGAGTGGGAAATAATGGAAAGATACCAAAATACAAATGCGTGGGAAGGGTTTCCAAGAAGAATTTATCCAAACCATTTCTGGAAATGGATGATGACATTATCCCCCTAAACACAAAGAGAAAGAGAAAGATTATAATAAATGGCGCAATGTAAAAATTAGTTTCAAAACATGAGTGTTTTTCTGTTCTTTTTTAAACATTTTTTAAAGATTTTATTTATTTATTTTCAGAAAGAAGGGAAATGAGGGAGAAACAGAGGGAGAGAAACATCATGTATGGTTATCTCTCATACACCCCCAAATGAGGACTTGGCCCACAACCCAGGCAGGTGCTCTGACTGGGAACTGAACTGGCAGCCCTTTGGTTCACAGACCAGCACTCAATCCACTGAGCTACACCAGCCAGGGCAGTGTTTTTCTCTTTTTTAAGCCAATTGCTTTGTGCTAAGTATTGCCACCAGGAGTGTATGAGTGAGTTCTATATAGGCCCAGAACCCAAAGACTTTTTCCAAATTCATTTTCCAAAACCATTTATAAGGTCACTGCTCCATGTAATAGAGACTTTGGCTGCCTACCTGAAATTCAAAAATTGGATGATAACTGAACTACTGTAAAATCTGGTTAGCTGAGGCTTCCTGGGAAGCCAAATAAGAAAAGGGAAGGAAGCAATAACTTACCATACATCACACAAAGAATACAAAACACAGCTGACTTAGACCTTGAGTGAGCATCCTCCTCCCAACTGCACACAGAACGCAGTAGCATCCACAACTCTAAATGTTAAATGTATGTATATAAATAATGTTCATTGACCCTTGAACAGCAAAAGGCTTGAACTGCATGAGTCATTTATACATGATTTTTTCCCAATAAATAGATTTCTGTAAATGTATTTTCTCTTCTGAAGGATTTTAATAATATTTTTTCTCCCACTTACTTTATTATGAATATAGTATATAATACATATAGCATACAAAATATGTGTTAACCAACGGTGTATATTATCAGTAAGGCTTCCAGTCAATAGCAGGCTATTAGTAGCTATTTTGGGAAGTCGAAAATTATACCTGGATTTTCAGCTGTGCCAGGAAGTCAGTGCCCCAAGCCCTGTGTTGTTCAAGATTCAGCTATAGTATGAATTATAACATTAGGCTTAGCTAGCACTTTCACTACTAAAACACTCTAATGAATATTAAATATTGTATTATATATAGTAAAATATATAATTCTTAAGTATACAGCTTGGTGAATATTTATATATGTAAACTCCCATGTTACCACTCTCCAGATCAAAATACAGCATATTTCCATCACCCAGAAAGTTTCCTCATGCCTGCATGCCTGTTTGGTGTATTTTTAACAGTAAACATACTTTCTTCTTTACACATTAATAACTTTCTACTAATGAGAACACTTGAGTAAGCAGAACTTTGATCATGCCAGGGAGAAAAGAAACTAACATTTGTCAAGCAAACACATTTTGCCAAACACTTTGACCTGTCACGCTAATCCTGTTAGGCAGGTGTAATTACATCCCCTGAGGCAACGAAGAAGCTGGGCTCTGGGGTTTAAGGGACCTTTCCCATGTCCTACTCTAGAGCCTCTTCCCCCATTTAATCGCACTGTCAGATGATACAGCTTACTACACTTTTTGAATAACGAGAGCTGATTTTCTTTAAGCAAGTCATATATATTTATGCCCAACAAAGAAAAGTGATAAAGGATAAACAAAATCCATAGAAAAAAATTAAAAACACTTCTCTATTAGGTAACCTTAAAAATAACTTTATCTATTAATTTACCTGAAAAAAGACATAGTGCCCATAGTCTAAAAACACTTTTTAAAAACAAAAAGACATTGTTTGTTTGTTTGTTTTTATCACCTTGAAATGGCCTTTTTATTGATTTTCAGATCAAGTTCAGGGCCAGGAATAAGGGAGCAGTATTAACTAGACTCCTTAAACTACCTGCAGTTCACCCAATCACAGTAACCAAAACCAACTAGCCCAGCTTGCGGAAGTAGTGCTTTTTGGTGCCCTGAAGAGTGGTCTTCAAGGGCCAATTCTTGTGACCTTGTGGCTTTGCGGCCAAGTGCCCTGGTTTGCCTGGGACTGTTACAGTTTCAGCCATGAAAGTCTGGTGTCCCAGGAAATCCCTCAGCCCTCGGCAAACTGTGCTGGTTGGTCACCATACTGAACAGATACCACATGTCAAAGTACCTTAATCAAGTGTTGTTTTGGGTGTTTGAGATTTCTAAGGATAAACAGGAAAGTGAACATGATCATAAATGCAAATTTGTTCAGCTTAAAGAGGAAAAAACGAATAGATGTGCACTTGCCTATACACAGATAAGGAATCACCAAGTGAACATGGAAAAGTAGTAGTCTCAGTGCTTCCAGGGAGAGAACTCGGTGCTGGCTGGCCCTGGAAAGATGGTGGTCTCTCAATGCATGCCCTTTTGAGCTGTTTGAATCAAATGGACATGTGAATACAATAATCCAGTGTTGTTAAACTGTGCTCCTCAGACAGCTGTGAGAGCTTGTAGGGATGGGAGGCAGGGAAGAACTGGAGATGACTGCAGACCCCTCCACCTGCTCAGACCAGCTCTGCACTTCGCCATTTTATATTTTGAGCTTCCTCACAAGGCTGCGTTTAATAACAGGTTTTATGATGTTTTTGAAAGTCTAAATGCTGTAACATTAATCTCTTTTCCTATGACATATGCATAGCAAACTCTCTGAACAAGGCTTTACAGAGGAGGGACACTAAGGTTTGCTTGGACAAAGGAAATGCCAACTCAAAGGCATCAGCTTCATATCCTAGTCCACTCACTTGCTGTCTTTGTGATCATAAGCAAGTTTCTTTATAACTTCTGGGCTTTAATATCTTTACCTGTTTTTTTATTTTTTTTCAAGTTTCAAGCATTTATTAATCAGTGTAAACCCCAAAAGAATACACCAACATGATATCGTGCATTTGGAGGGGAAATATTCCCTGGTTAAGTGGAAAATTGTGTGGATGGCTTCTGGAAGACTGTCATTCTAAGCAGCTTTATACTAAAACATTTCATTTAGAACTCGGGACCTTCTTTCTTCAGTTTGCTGTTAGCTACATTCACTGAGTAGAACTCATATTGCTCATTGGGACCCAGCTTGTTCCAGGGTTCTGGGTTATTCTTTTTGTCCCAACAGACATCTGTGTTGGACAATACCAGGTGCATGACATACAGCACTGCTCCAGTACCTCCAGCTCCAACAAATATAAAGAGGGGGGTCAAGCTTGGATGCTTCTTGGCCTGACTGATGATCTGACAGAGCCTGGTTGTGGCAGAGGGCCCAGAAGCAAAGAAAAAGTTCTTAACCTGATTTTTTTTAAATGTGTGTGCATGCATGGTGTGCATTTGTGTGCAGTATTAGCCCAAATTGTTTTTGTAAGTATTATATGCCATAGTATTTATAAAAGTAACTAGTACTGTACCTAGTTATACAGCAAATGCTCAGTTGCTGGCTAATTTGAAATCGAGTCAAAGTGTTAAAAAGCATTAATACAGTAGCAGTTTTCAGGCTCTTGAATGTTTCTGTATTGGCTCTCCTGCCCCCACACAAGGCTCAGCACTTGATTACAGACCACAGGGAAGATTATATAGCTCAGGAGCAGATCTACAGATGCCAGGGTCTAGAGACATCTCCAGGCTTAATCCATTCTGGGACTTAGCTTTGGAGTTGCCCTCCAGTACAGAAACCAACACAGAAGTGATGCAGCACAAAAAGTGAGTGCCTATGAAAGGAGGGGAAAATGAAGAATAGGGGAGGTAGGCCATGGTCCTCTGGAATCACATGGCTAAGTGGAGCAGGGTTGATTCTCTAGGACACACTGCTGTTCAGCATCCTATTAGGGATTCTAAACCAGACAAGGGAGAGGCAGTGTTGGGAGGGAACCAAGAGAAAGGGGGACTGAGGAAGGAAGACTACAGAAAAGAGACTGCAGAGATGGAAAAAATGGGTGAAGCTGGGGAGAACCAGCCCTAGAAACACTGCCAGAAAGTAAAGAGACACTTCTATTTAAAAATTTTTCAGTTAATCACCTTTACCATCGCTAAAAATACAGAATACCCTCCCCCCACACACCCATGCACAAAGGAAGATGATGTACTTGTGATTTCCAAGTCAATGAAGGTCAACTTTGGTGTTTCAGAAAATGACCTGTATCTAATACACGCCAGCCTGAATGAGCCAGTATACCCAGCAGAAGCCAGGAGCCCCACTACAGCAGAATTACCTGGGAAGCCCTCAATCACAGCCCTTCAGTGGCCTCTTGGGCTACTCAGTGGCCCTGGCCCCATTCCCAATCTTAATCAAGAACTCTAGCTTCTTGATGACTCCAATCCTAACAATCAGTTGGCAAGGAATTACAGGCACTGTCAAGTCATATACAATGAAACCTTAACCAAATCCAGTGGAAACTTTTTTACATCCAGTTAACCAGACTAACTGAGTTAACCAACACTAGGGTGATCACAGACTTTACTATCCAGGACCTCTTGAAGAGTGAAAAGGGTGTTCTAATTCAGTCAGGATAATAGGCACAAACTGGAAAATGTTGTTACCTCTAATAATCTGTGTCCATCTTTAAAACCTAAAAACTGATGGCCAAGCTTCGACTGTTGTCCAGCATCCCCTGAACTTCTCTGTGCCCGTCAGTTGAGCTACAAAGAATCACTTGTCTTCCTTCCCAGATATGCACATGCCCATTGTATTTGTTATTGGAATTATGTAATTATATTAAATATTATGTATATTGGTGAAATATAAAGGTAAAATGAAAAGGTGTTTCTATAAAAATTTAGTCAAATATCTCAAAAAACTCAAAAATGAGTTGCTTTAAAAATTTCTGCCCATATACATATAAAGTAACTATAAAAGATGGGAAGAAAATTATATTAAAATTCTAGTTTAGACAGAGACAACACTCAATTTACAAGTGGTTTTAAGATCTTGCACCACTTTAAAGAAACTGAAACTGGATGTTGTAAATGATGCCTGACGAGGGTGGTTTATATAAGAATGAGGACATGAAACTCCAAACAATGAACTCATAGCAAAGAAAAATAGGACCTCACAGTAAAAGATAATCCATGAATTTTAAGTTTAAACTGAAAGCTTAGAAGATGGTGACATATGTAAACACAGCTCACCTCCTCACACAACCACATCAAAATGACAACTAAAATATAGGAAACTATCAGTCAGAACTGTCAGAAATTGTATTGAATAGAAGTCTGACAACTCTGGAATTAAAGAAACCACATCAATCAGACTAGTAGGAGGGCTGAAGACATGGAATGGGCTGGTCCCACATCCACATGTGGTAGACAAAAATTTGGGAGGTGTACCTCAGGAGCGAGGAGTCCCAGCCCTACACCAGGCCCCCCAGCCCAGGGTTACAGTGCCAGTTAGATACATCTCCACAACTTCCAGCTGCAAAAATCAGCAAGGATTAAGTTGGTAGAGGAAACTTCTAGAGTCCCAAGCAGTTCCCATTAAAGAACTCATATACAGACTTACTCAAACTCACTCCCTCTGAGATCCCAGCACTGGGGTAGCAGCTTAGAAGGTACCAGTGGCATACAGAGAGAAAGTGAAATGTGTGGGATCGAGACAGGAGCTAGGGGATAGCTTTCTCTCAGACAGAAAGACAGGCAGAGGCCATTATCCCTTTTCTGAGCTCTTGCTCCACAGAGACACAGAGGGGGCAGGTGGGTGCCATATCTAAGACTCCATCAAGCTGGCTAACACTGATTGCCCCACCCTGAAGATCCCCTGAGACTCTGTCCCACCCAATTCACAAGCCCACCCAAACTGTTAACTGTGACTTTCCCATATGAATGGCTCATGCTTCACAACTTCCTAAATCATCACAAACAAGCAACAGCTGTCCTCCATAAGCCACCAGTCCTGGCTCCTCTTGCTAAGTGATCCAGACCCAGCACTAGCAACAACCAGTCTAGAATCATAGCTTGGCTTCACCTGGTAGTTTCCAAGCCCAGAACAAGTAGCAGCCATCTCAGATGGCTTTATAGCTCAGGCAAGGTAGCCTCAAGCAGAACACAGGTGGGGGCTGACCTTGGCCTGCACCGCCTTGGAAACACCAGGGCCAGCACACCCAGTGGACAGCTACAGACCACACTGGAGCACCTCTACCCTGCCCCTACATAGCTGATCCTCCATGGAGCAAGGAGTTGGGTGGTCAGTGGTCATATCCAGTCCTTGCAGCTGACTGGCCTGGGTAAATCTCTCCCATTGACCTGCCAACAGTAACCAAGGGTCAATTACAAGAGGAGAGTGTAATCAGCCCACACAAAAGGTGCTCCTAGAGTACCCAGCTTGGACAATAGGGTAGGCTGTGTCACTGGACTCCACAGGACACCTACTACATTAGGCCACACTACCAAGACAGGGAGTTTTAGCAGCTGTACCTAATACATAGAAATAAACACAGGGAGGCTCCAAAATAAGGAGACAAAGAAATATAGCCCGAATGAAAGAACAGATCAAAACTCCAGAAAAATAATTAGACAAAATAGAGATAAGCAATCTTTCAAATGCAGAGTTCAAAACACTGATCATAAGCATGCTCAAGGAACTTAGGATCTCAACAGCATAAAAAAGATCCAGTCAGAAATGAAGGATACACTAATTGAAATAAAGAACAATTTACAGGGAAACAACAGTAGAATGCAAATAGCTGAAAATCAATTCAATGATTTAGAACATAAGGAAGCAAAAGACAACCAATCAGAACAAGAAGAAGAAAAAAGAATCCCAAAAAATGAGGACAGCATAAGCAGCCTCTGGGACAAATTCAAGTATTCCAACATTCACATCATAGGGGTTCCAGAAGGAGAAGAGAAAGAGCAAGAAATTGAAAATCTATTTGAAAAAATATTGAAAGAAAATGTCCCAAATTTGGTGAAGGAAATAAACATGCAAGTGCAGGAAGCACAGAGAGTCCCAAACAAGATGGATGCAAAGAGTCCCACTCCAAGACATACCATAATTAAAATGCCAAAGGTTAAAGATAAAGAGAGAATCTTCAAAGCAGCAAGAGAAAAGAAGTTAGTTACCAACAGGGGAGTTCCCATAAGAATGTCAGCTGATTTCTCAAAGAAAAATTGCAGGCTAGAAGGGATTGGCAACATATATTCAGTTTTGAAAAGCAGGGACTTAAAGCAAGATTGGTCTATCCTGCAAAACTATCATTTAGAATGGAAGATCAGATAAAGAGCTTCCTGGATCAAAAAAAAAAATCTAAAGGAGTTCATCATCACCAAACAATTATTATATGAATTGTTCAAAGAAATTACTTAAGAAAAAGAAGGTCAAAACTATGAACAATAAAAAGGCAATTCATATCTATCAACAACTGAATCTAAAATCAAACTAAGCAAACAAGAAGAACAGAGACAGAATCATGGATACAGAGAGGGTTTTGATGGTTGTCCAATAGGAAGGAATGGGTAAAGAGGTTAGGGGATTAAGTATAAATAGGTAGTTACAGAATAGCCTTGGGGATGTAAAGTACAGTATGGGAAATGGAGTAGCCAAACAACTTCTACACATGACCCATGGACATAAACAATGGTATGGGGATGGCTTGAGGGAGTGGGGGGTGCTGCTGGAGGAGGGGAAATGGGGAAAATTGGGACAACTGAAATTGCATGATCAATAAAATATAGTTAAAAATAAAATGAACTGAAAGTTTAAGATATATATGTATACATATAAATATGTTTTAATTTCCTTCTTTAGAAGACTTTACCAATTAACCAAGCAACCTCAGGTACCTACTTTGACTATTGCCAAAATTATAGCACATCTCCTAGCTATACTTAAAACAAGTATTATGGTATGAGGTCTCCATAGGATGTTTCCTATCACACCCCCAAAATTATTTCAAGGAAAACTTATTGATTATACTTTAGGGAGGAATTTTTACCCCAGCCTGTAAAATGAGCTAGAGATAAAGAAATTTAAATGTTTGTTGTCCCACAATGAATGCTTCTAAGCAACGTAAATGTATATGAGTCTACTTGATCATCACTTTCTGCTATAAATGAATTATTGCACAATATGCAATTTTTATAGAAAATAGAAAATATACCTGTATGACTTTTATCACAATTAAATTATTTCCAAAACATATACACAATTTAACAAAAAGGAAAAGTACCTATCAGTAGCAAGTAAAGGAGAAAAATAACACAGAGATCACTGTCACTAAAAACAAATTCCAAGTTAACAATTTAGGTGTATGAGGT